GAGGGGTCGGTGCCAAAGGTAGCGGATAACATTCTTGTTCATATTGCACAATAAGGAGAAGCAGGAGTCAAGCCAGTGATACCAATAGAAAGACCATTCTTTGATGTATAAGTGCTCACATTACCGGTTAACGCTCTTCAGGTAATTAGCAAATATTTTGGGTTCAAAAATATATGACAGAACTTTCCCGCCAAGCTAATAATACTGAAACAAAAGAAAAGCACTGTGAAAACCCAAGTTTGACAGGAAACTGCTTTAGAGTTTCGGTGAGCGGGACAACTACTAAGGAGGCGTCAGAACTGGCACTTATGAGGGGTGTAGCGTCGGCATTACTTACTGTGAAGCCGTGGAAAAGGAAAACAGAGAGACTCTCGGCCAACGTACTTGAACAAGGAAGGACACCTACGAGATGCTTGAGAGCGAGTATGCCCTTGATATGGTACTCTCTACAGGCACAACGTAAAAAATCGAATCGATTGAAGAAAAACCATGACAGTATAAGTGAGGACAAACAGTAACAAGGATCCAACACAGAGGAGACAGAGAAGGTTGCGAATCGGCTGCCTTAAAACTATAGTTGAAAAGTCAGCACTATAGCAGCGCAGAAACGGTCTTCGATCGTTTCGTTTCAGATCGCGCTTTCTGAACTTCTTTCACATTCCCACTAAGAGTTACTGAAACAATCGCGACCACTATGGACATTACATAAAAACAAGCACAATTACAACGAGCCCCAAGATCCCAAATTTCGGTATCGGTGCGATGACACGTGTGACCACTACCGGAAAACCGTTAAAAATAAGAGGGAAATCAGCCGTATTCTTGAAATTTTTCAACAGATTAGGAATTCTCTAAGCGGATGAATGAAAAAGTAACCAGCTTTGGAGACAATAGGCGAACTGTTTACATTGAAAGAAAAAAAATCATTTCAACAGCAGTCCATAATTAATAGCACTTTCATGGTAGTTGAGAAATAGGAAGCCAAATCTGAAAGTATACTCACATCTTGCAACTGAGTCAAAAATCTGATACGAGTCTTCATAGGACTGCTTCTGCTGATTCCCGTCCAGGCGCTCTGTGTAATGGATCCTTCGTTAGAAATAAGCGAATTGGGGAATCGTTGTGGATCCTGAAAACCTCATGTAGCTCACTCATATGTGCGAGTCAAACGTTGGCGGGTTTATCATGGAAGCTCTCAAAATCTCGGTTCGGTCAATATTCCTGGGCTGATAATCACGGTAGTGCAGGTATCTCTAGTTTCGGAATTGGGCAATACATTCACAAGAGAGCAAGAGTTTATCATTAGATAGCAATATTAGACTAACACCTCGAGAAACTTCGCGAGGCTACGTTCATAGCTGGCGGCAGCGCCCACAGGTATACGGTACGGCAGCGTTTCGAGCGGGCGCCAGTGCCAGCGGCTAGGAAAGTGCTGATATCGATCTAGCGTAAATCAGCGTCCACGGGCATCAACCAGCGTCTAAAGGGACTAGGAAAATATAGGTAGCGATCTAGCGGACGCCAGCGTCCACCAGCATTTGCCAGCGTACAGCAGCGTCCAGGAATGGAGAATGTGCGGAAAAAGGAGAGTAGCAGACGGCTGATTAGGCGTCGTGAAACTGCGGTGTGTGCGCGCCCGTACCATCACACTACACCGTACATCAATATTGCATAATTCTGTGCTTTAGCAGTTGTACGATGCAGTAGTACAATCCGTAATTCCAAGACGCCTAATCCAGCTGTCTGCTGCCCTCTTGCTTCCCCATATTCTCCACTCCTGAAGCTACTGTATGTTGGCAAACACCGTTCAACGCTGCCGCAAGTATGAACGGAACCTAACCATTTCTTTACATGAATTGCAGCTATTTATGGTCGTGACTACGAATAGGGGGACTTTTCCTTTCATGTGAAAGTGACCAAAGGTCGAACTACAAACATGACATTCTTTTCGGAGCCGGGTCTTTCGACGCAGTGGGTGTCATAGCGTTTGAAGTTTTCGGAGTGAGATAGTAAAGCGGTGTCGTGATGCCTCACAAGCAACTCAGAAAGAAGTGGTGTTGTCTGAGCCCGAGTGTGTCAAACAGCTCTTTTCAAGGTTCGGTAGTTGACAGTGGTAAGTCTAGACCGCTGCGGATGAAGGAGCGTGTCAGGCGAGATGAGTTTGGCGCCGTGCCAATTCCGCCCACCAGTTGTTGAAACGAGCAAGTGACGAGACTGTATCATATCGTTCGTATCACTCGTTTTCTACCAGCTTTTGTCGTATACACACTTCAACAGCTGGCAAATAACGGGTTTGGCGTCGTGGCACTTTAATACTGCCTGACGCCCAATCATCCACAGCTTATAGTGTTCCCGATCCATGAGAAGTACTCTGCGGCGGTACAAAATGAGAATGAGCTTTTCGGGGAATCCGCGCCAGACGCGATTCGTTTTTGAAAGAACGGTCCTTTCCAGAACAAAAATTCGCTGGTTATCCTATGCTCCTAGAACACTGGCGCCTGGCCTCGATGAATACCCATTCACACCTTTAGCGCGCATTCACTCAAAATCCGATTCGCCGATGCTCCTACTCATGTAGTAGAGTATGAAGACATCATCTCAGAGAATGTGTTCTGATGACTAAATACAACTGTATATCTTATTCATACGTGTCTAGAGCGAACATATCTGTACCTTGTCTCTGGAAGATCCGAAAAGTCGGGAAATTAGCCCAACCTTCCTTGCTGGCGAAGCACTCGACTGAGGTGGATGAGAAGTTGATGGAGATGAAGTAAAAATACTATTCTGTGCATCTCGACCTAAAGAGTGGAATGTCAAAAACTATTCATGACGACCAATTACTTTCAGCGGCATTACCAAGAGGATTTTCTGGCGAATCTGGCGATTTGGAGTCTGCAGCTGACGATCTTGTGCTCGTACTTCGATCCATCAAGGGCTAGAAACCAATAGAACGATGGAGCGGATAATTCTATCTCAGCACTGACATCTCTGTTATCACGAGTCAACGCTAACCTTGTATCGGGAATATTCACAAACAAGAGTCCCTTATGGACCTCGTCTTAATAAACTCTAAGTCAAACTCTTTTGCTAGAACATAACTCTTTCAAACAGAAACATTCCTTGAGGTATATTACCACTTAATAGGACCACCCCATCTCATCACAAAATTCATTGTCTTTGCAATATAACAACGACCTCTTGCACCCGCTTTTCAAAATTAGAAAGTTATGAAAGCCAGGGAAAGTCGTCAGTTGACCACTTTGAAGTAAGCATACTAAGTAGCTCACCAGCGTGAAACAAAACCGACAAACTAATGCTCTCGTATTAGGTACTACTACATACTTTTTTATTTACACTACGGCAAATGTCCAAATTCCGACGTAAAATCAGGTGTTTCAGGGATATGGGGCTACAGACGTCATCACTCACTTGACGGCAAATGTCGGGTTGAATCTGCTTCAGGTAAATCTGTGCATTCTCGTTGCCATTCCTTCCCGTAAAAAGGGGTAAATTTATTTCAGCAGTTTCCGGTCATTCATATCTTGCTCTCGAAGATCACGTTTTATGCTTTTTTGTCTATTACCAGTCGGATCGCCCGGCTGACGCCGAGCTCTCCTCCTTCTTTTTAGCTCGGCTTCGCCGAGCTGGCCTGGCTTCGCCAGGCGCACATCATAACGGGATGGAATTAGTTAATTGCATGAGCTGCTCATATTGCGCGGTAGTGGTCGAATCATAATAGACAGAGTAACCTAGCGAAATCTGCACCCCTCAGAGTTGCGGAAGGCGTGCTGGTTTCGGCCATAACGCCCATTCTATACGTAGATCTTAGAAGTAGATAGGAAGTACAGAATATGTGTTGCACAGTAGATGAACACATTCCGTTTTTATTACCTGCATCACAACACCAACGATGGGCGATTAACTTGTCATTAACATGCAATCCACCTGCTAAGGTTGCATGAATGGCTGCAGATGACAATATTTAGGCTGCGTCATTGAATATCTTACAAACTACTTCGTTATTCGTTCTCATCAGTGATTTAAAGTTGAAAAGCAAAAAAAAAGTTAAATACTCACTGAACGCATAAAGTGTGTTCCAATATTGGAGTTTTTGATTTTTCCAAACTTCCTGTTTCAGGCGAAGTATATACCCCCCCCCCCCTCCCCCCCAGCTCCCCCTCCTCCCCGCGAATAGTAAATCGCAAACTTCCTGTTTCAGGCGAAGTGTATACCCCCCACCACCCCCAGCCTCCCCCCCCCCCGCGAATAGTGGGATGAGTACATTTTCTAGTGCTATCAGAGGAGTGATGGCTGGAGGGAAATTTCGCTTACTGAGAGGCTTTTTTGGCAGTGTAGTGGTCAGAGATGTCGTGAGAATGTCCCCTTATCTTTACTTATCAATTGATAAAATTGCTTGTCACCCGTCATCAATGTCGCTATCACTAAAACTCCATAATTTCGTGGTGTAGAGGCTCCAGCGTTTGATTGAACAACAACTGCATCGTTCTCTATCAGGCCCTATCAGCTGTTATCATTTCCTGTCACCCGCCGTCGCCTTCTCCACCTTCCCCTTGATATCATTTGCTGAAATCAACGCCTAACTGATGCTGTGTCCCGCGTTATGTATGTTGTCCTTTCCACTCTAACTCCCCTTATCAGCAGCTAGCAGTTCTTGTCACCCACATATTCCTGTGCCGTAACCTATATCATACCTTGGAACAAACGCCCCAGTGTTCCAGTCGGACCGCCCCCTCTGCTTCCTTTCCTTGCGCATGCTCAGATCGGGGCAGCCTGAAAATACGTTACGGGGTCACGTTGCCGCCTGCTTGGGAGACTTTTCTTGGGATTTGATGGCTCTTTGGACGTCTTAATGAAATATTTTCGTATGTACAGAGCCCATTTTAGCGTCCCGGTCTTTTCACAACATTGCTTGCTTCAGCACGTTCATGTCTGCTTTCTCGATTGTTTCCGCAAAAAAAATGTAGCCCTTATAGCTCCAAATGAAAATGGAGGTCGATGAGCAGCAAATGCGAAGCGGTATCGTAATGGAGAATGCTGCTCTCGTACAGCCAGACTGGGATCTTGCTCTAAAGTAAGCACTGTTTACCCTGTTTATTTGTTTTCTGTCAAAATAGTAATGAGCTCCCAGGGAAATGCCAAATCCAAAATTTTTTGTGGGACTCCGGAAACATCGTCAAAGTTCTGTGTTTGCAAATGTGGAGAAGAGCGGCGACGACTTCGTATGTGCCGACAGTGGGATTCAAATTACAGTCCATCAGCCATGTGTGGGTACTGTGCTATTCTTTTTGGTGTAATATGTGTTCAGTGGGCCATGCGGTGAACCTGTGTCTTTCCCCATCCTGAGGCTCATTCTTAGCAGAGCGCCGACGAACGGAGTATGTGCCGCCTGGTCTCGCAGGGCAGTCGCATCGTCGCATGGCGAACTGCGCTGGAACTTTCTCTTCATTTTTTCTATTCACTTGCAACTTCATCCTTAGGTTCTTTCGCATTGATGTTTTCGCGTTATTTGAACTCTATTTCAGAACTCATTACGCTTGCAGTCATCAGATGTCAGCACAAATTTCTTGTCGCCAGTGTCTGAGCTTCGTAATCTTCACTCCACTTCCATCCAGTCAGTGGATGTTTCATGCTCTGGAAACCTTATTGTCTCCACCGATGCGAGCGGATCTCTCATTGTTTCCAACGCAATGAATGGAACGCTATTGGTAGGTGAATCACTCAGCTCTTATAAGCACAACGGTCACAGAATTCATAGCGCTGCTCCTATAGCAGTGGGCAGCTGGTACCGAGGAGTGAAGGATTGCACGGGAACATTGATGGTGTGTGGCTGGAGTGGTAACAACTGATGTGAGCTGATAAGGGGAGTGAAAATGGAAACCCCATGGTTAATGACATGGTGATCAACAAGGGAGAGTCAGCCACTGCTCAAGTCGGAGTGTCGTATCCTTGCAGGGACAACATTCTGACTTGAAAAGTGGCTGACCGGCAAATGCTCTGCACCCAACCCTGTACTCTTTTTGATCCCGAAAGATTGGTTGATTCTATCATCATTATTTTCAGCGTGACCTCAAGGGTCACATCATGGATGTCTACAAGTGCCGCTTCTTCCCAAGTGGACTAGTAGTTCTTTCTGCTGGTATGGACATGACTGTGAAGGTATGGTCTGTGGAAACTGGACTGTGTCCACGAACGTTCAAAGGGCATGTGATGGGTATGCACCAATTGAAATGTGTTGTTTGGGTCATAAATTGGTCAATTTAGCGGTTACTGACATCGCAATTATTGGCGTTGGTCGTGAGGTTTTGTCGTGTTCTCATGATGGAACAGTGGTCAAGTGGCTGTGCGCCGACGGCTCTCAAGTGGAACAGTGGAAACCTGAAGCAGGACCTTGTAATGCGATAGCTATCAATAAGGGTACATGTTTATAGCACTCCTTCTTCGAACCGGCTGCTTTATATGTTGAATTCAGATTCGGAACTATTTGCTGTATGCTGCGAGGCGAAAAAGTGTGTGGTGTACTCTGTAGAAGGACCTACGGTGAGCGATCTTCAGCCCTTCTTCCTACTAGCTATACGTTTTGAAATTTTTTGGGATACAGAGCAGATGTAGCAGGGCTAGGATGTGATATGAACTGGGTTTCTGTTCTGAATGCATTCACTGTGAGCCCTTTCACACGGAGTATCCGATATTGTTACTTGAGCTTTATTGGGTCACGTCTTGGCGGGATTGCCTTCTTTAGAGCGGGAAAAAGCTTGCTGGAGTTGCGAGGTAGTCGCGACGTCAGTCAGTTGTTTGCTGCTCATGCCCCATTGTTCCCATTTCGTTTTTCTGCAATTATTCCCATCGTTACTGCCGTAAAGTCCAAGAAAAAAAATTACATTTTCAGGGAAATAATTTCGTTGCGTAACTTTCTTTCTTGTGGAATGACCACTGACGGTTTCAGTGGTTGTTTCACAAGAAATTAACTGCACACACACGCACCACACTGAACAACCTGAGCTTGTTCTTGTTTTTTGTTTTTCTGCTGCTTAGTTTTGAATAGAACTGTCGAGATCTCTTCTTCTGTTAGTTACTCTCCCTCCTAATTTTACTTTCCTATATAACAGATAGCTACGATCACCACCGACAATGTACCAACGGCCGTCTGCATAGAGCAAGAATGTGACCATATCGTCTACATCGGAGACGAAGAAGGCATGGTTTCTGTTTACGACACAAAGGCTAAGTGAGGTTTTCGTTAATTAAATGCTATTTCTTTTCAAGGGAACTGCTTAGGCAAAACGTCATTGCTGTGGCAGTCGAGTTTTTATAAGGAAGGAGCTATCAATCAGTTCGATCAGCATCAAATTCGGTGTAAAAAAAGGCCGAGTTCGCTGCAAATGGTACTCAAAGCGATAGCTAATGAGTATCCTGTAATACCCTATTTCGAAGCTGCATATGACGCAACAGCGCAGTAACTCTTTGACCCCAAAAAAAAACTCGGGAGCCGGTGGGTGCTTGCAAAACACTCATGCGGTGACACCAGCTGGGACTGGCATCGATATTATGCAGTCTTGTCGCTTGCTTCGTTTTAACAATGACATTCGTAGTTATCCTATCGCGAAAGTCTCTCCATGTCTTCGGGCACTTCAAGCGTTATGAATCAAATCGCTCGAATTATCGCACACTTGTAGTAAAGAAAGTTCCACCACATATTCACTTTTTCAGATCGTTCATCTATCGTTTGCAAACTAGTCGCGGTCGGGTGATGAAAATAATGACGAGAGATGAAGGCTTATTCATTGCTTACAGTGAGTTTCAAGATTTTAGGGAATATCGAAATTCATTTTGTGGGCACTACTGCGACAGTCTTGTTCATTGCATATGACGGGGCATGTCAAGATGCTGGGTGCGTGCACTTAGATACCCGGGTGGGCGTGGCCACAGGGGCAAGGCTTCGAAATGGACCGGTGTTTCCCAAATTTGTGCCGCAATAGATATTAGACGGGAGCACCGTTTACAAGGTAAACGTTCCTATTGTCTTCAAGGTGTGCTTAATGTTGATTTCATGATCATACGTAAGACCTGATAACCACTTTTTCGCCTCTGCCTAATGTATACCTTTGCAAAAAGCATAAATTCCAATCTAAGTTAATTCTTCCTCTCGGAACTTCTTAGTTCAAGCAGTAGAAACACACAGCTGTTTAATAAGAAGGAAATTATCGTCTCCAAGCTCAGGAAGAAGCGCTGAAGCCTAATTATATCCGTCCACGTCAAGCCCTCGCCCTATTTTGGCCACGCCCACCGGGTATCTAAGTCACGTTGCCCAAGATGCTGGGTTTGACGCGCCGCCAGTTGTTGATGCAGGTATGCGGCAATAATTGGTGGAAACCGATCGATACAAACGACATGATGCAGTCTTGTCGCTTGTGCAAAGAAAAAAGCTGGCTGGCCATACGCCCTACCCGTCCCTCTTGACACGCCCCCTCTTCTGAAGCGAAAAAGACTATATTGGTAGGGGTTCTGATCCAGTCTTGATAGATTACGGTGCTCTCAATTGTTGAAATATTGCGGGTTTTATTTCGCGTCATTTCTTCAATCAGTTTTCATGCTGTGCAACATTTACTGCTGAAAGGTGCATAAAAAAAGCTGGTAAGGATAAGGAATTGAGATTTGAGCCTAACCATAAGCCTGAAAGCTCGCTGTGAACTACTTACATAGGAGCTTCTTCCCGGAATTTAGGCAGGAAGCTCCTCGTGACCGTATTTAATGAGTAGAGATTGGTTAAGTAATTTATCTTTCTGGTGCCATGCGCCAAAATGTGTACGCCCATTAGACTATTGTTTATTGGTTGCACAGTTGTTTTCAGGTTGTACTAACTACTGATTTCGATCGCTGCTGTTTAAATTATTGCAGGAGATGGGTCAATGTGCTGCTACCCTCGTAACTCTTCTTTGACAAACGTTTCGTGCCCTATATACGAGTTCACGGGGTCAGATTGTGATCCCGTTTATGATTTTTGCTTTCATCAGAAGCATCTGTTCACTGCGAGCAGGGATAGGATAGTGAGGAAATATAGAATTTTGTAAAGCAAGTTTGTAAAATGTATGTACGCTTTTCGCTGTTGATGTGTACTATTTATGGTAAATTTTCAGTATTTGTTGAGTCTTTCTGCTTATCATAATTAACGGTGTCTGAAATGTGTTACCGGTCTATATTTTCCAAATAAATTTTAATCCTGTGTTTTCGGAGGTCTTAACAACAGGGACTTTCCTGCGCAGAGAAATCTAACTGGAGATGTGCATGATGATATAGTTACTCTCATTTCAAATCAGGATGTTCAACAAATGTCTGCAAACGTCGCCGTCGAGGCTGCAGATACATCAGCAGCGCTTTAAAACTGTGAAATTCAAGCCGAAGGTGAGTTTGTGCAAGTTTAACGGCTCTGCTATAAGCACTTTATGAGATTTTGGGCCGAGAAACTGGTGGCTTTTTCATTTTCTTTGACCTTCGAAGGCGGCTTGGTTCAGGAAGGAGTTCTTTAAGACCACGCGATTTCGCATGCGCGGCAATCTGCAAGCACTGCTGGCCTGCAGTGGAGACAAGTTATATGCGATAAACCCGTTACGCTGTTGAAGGGGATTGCGTTCGCTTCAGTCTTACGCCATATAAACATGAAGTTTTCTTTTATTTGCATAGACAAGGTGATCGCATAGCCATAATACTGCAGAGAAACGTGATTCTGTTCGCGAGTGAACTTAGCTCACCTGCGAATCCCTACTCAAATCCCGAATGCGAATCCCTGCTCGAATCCCTACATCGCTTTTTGGTTAGCATACTATCAGATACTGTACTTACTGTCGTATTTTTGAGGTACTGTCTTGCTGAAAAAATAGCAGGAAATGTTGCTCTCGTGTTGCAAACGTTTTTTTTTTAATTTCAATATTTGCGTCTTAACAACCCTTTATCACGATTCCTGTTCATCATCAAGTATAGTCTTCCAAGTCCATCAGTTATGATATCAAGATGGGCATCAATTCCAGGTAGCGAAGACTCATGCACTTAAAACACCTTCGATGGTGGCACTAGACCACTGTGACTTCTACTATGGTCCCATGTTTGGCAAACGCTGGCCAAGCATTCGCCTGGGACTGCTCACTCCCAATAAGTATATAGCAGTTATGAATACATTTTCAAAGTGAGATCCATGTCGAGTAGCTGGTCAGCATTTACTTTTGAGTTAGAGCGCTAATCTTTGCAAACTTCAGTGAGTGCGATACCCATGAAGAACTTCTGAAAAGTTCTAATACGATAGATCTCTTGGCGAGAATTCGTGGAAAAACTGCAGCTGAGCGCATAGAGGAAAAGAAACAGCGAGTGGACAGTTGTGCTAAGAAGGAAACAGAAATCGTGCTAAAAGAGATGGTCAGTCATATCTCCGCTACTACTCTCAATAATTGTTACGGTTATGTTTGTTGTTCTTCTATAAATGGTATTTTTGTTAGGACGTATAATTTATGGGCTACTGCTAAAAATACTAGATATCGCAGAATGCGTGGGTTTCCTCGACGCGAGTAAACTTCTCTTGAAGAGGCTTCTCGACTGAAATCGTGACTAGTGAGGTTCAAATACGTGCGACAAGATGGCACTAACTCAGTAATGAAGAGAAAAGAAATGGAGAAGTGGATGCCTCAGGTTGGACACCACACCCCGCCGATCTGAATTTGTGCGAGCATACGGCGAACAGGGGGCGTACTCGGATGCGTTTTCACCTGTTATTATGATGAATATACCATTTTCACTTTAAATCGGACACTTTTCAAACCAAATCGGACACTTTTCAAATCAAATCGGACACTTTTCAAACCAAATCGGACACTTTTCAAATCAAATCGGACACACCCCTTACAATTAGGTGGTTGATAACTAGACCACTAGGTACTGTTGCAAGCTCCGCCCCATTATCCCCGCCCATTTCTCAGCAGACAGGGTTTTCCGAGATGCTTCATGAAATCTGCTCCCTCGGCTTTTTTTCGTTTTTGCCCTTTGCACACACACTTCAACTGGAAAAGGTTGATACCTATACAGATCTGACTCCGCCCACTTAACAATGAAGTTACGTAAGTTCTGAATTTTTATAACTTTTTTCGACGTAGTTCTTTTCACATCCAATCTTCACAAAACGAATAACCATGCACAGCACACCAGGCCCCGCCCCTCTGACCCCGCCCACTTGTGTTTATCGCGGAATTTTGGTTTTCTCCCGGATTTTTGCTTTTTTTTTTTTTTTAAATTTTTTTTTATTTCGCTTTTTTTAGGCTTTGGCGATTGGGCCCACCAATGGAAGCTCCGCCCACTTTGGGGAAGCCCCGCCCACTTTTCAAAAATGATGCAAATCGGCGGGCTAGTGTCCGTACTGGCGGATTACGGCCTCTCCCGGCACATAGAATAAAAAAGAGGGGGAAATCGGGAAAAAAATGGAAACTTTGTTCTGAGCGACGGAGAGCCGTAATCCACAGTACGGACACTAGCCCGCCGATTTGCATCATTTTCGAAAAGTGGGCGGGGCTTCCCCAAAGTGGGCGGAGCTTCCATTTGTGGGCGCCGGAGCCATCGCTAAAGCCTAAAAAAGCGAAAATCCGGGAGGAAAACCAAAATTCCACGATAAACACAAGTGGGGCGGGGTCAGAGGGGCGGGGCCTGGTGTGCTGTGCATGGTTATTCGTTTTGTGAAGATTGGATGTGAAAAGAACTACGTCGAAAAAAGTTATAAAAATTCAGAACTTACGTAACTTCATTGTTAAGTGGGCGGAGTCAGATCTGTATAGGTATCAACCTTTTCCAGTTGAAGTGTGTGTGCAAAGGGCAAAAACGAAAAAAAAAGCCGAGGGAGCCGAGCAGAGGTTCATGAAGCATCTCGAAACCTGTCTGCTTGAGAAATGGGGCAGGAGATCAATGTGGCGGAGCTGCAACATACCAGTGTTGGTCTAGTTAATCAACATTAAGTGTTAGTGGGTGATGTCGATTTGGTTTGAAAAGTGTCCGATTTGATTTGAAAAGTGTCCGATTTGGTTTGAAAAGTGTCCGATTTGGTTTGAAAAGTGTCCGATTTGGTTTGAAAAGTGTCCGATTTGATTTGAAAAGTGTCCGATTTGGTTTGAAAAGTGTCCGATTTGATTTGAAAAGTGTCCGATTTGGTTTGAAAAGTGTCCGATTTGGTTTGAAAAGTGTCCGATTTGGTTTGAAAAGTGTCCGATTTAAAGTGAAAATGGTATATATCAGCTCTTTTACACTACAGCCTTACCCCTACATTTTTAAGAGGCAAACTCTACAATATCTTCGGTCTGGGTCTAGAGCGCCTCCCCGTATACGAGAGAAGAGTGGTTTGGTAGCTGTTCAGATGTAACATTTTCATCACTTGAGAACGCACGGAAGTGAGGCTAAAGGAAGTGATGCATGGGAGCCATTCATTGACTCCCCCGCGCCACGCTCAGGGTGGAGCATCTACTAAATCCCAGTGAACACACACTCAGAGGTGGAGAACAACAGAAAGAAAAGAGAAGGCCGCACGGTAAATAGCACATTTGGCTCTCAGAGAGTGGGAGAACAACCAGAGAGAGAAGGCGCCCGCCGTAAATAGCACAATTTGGCGTATGCCGTTTAGACGTCATGACTCTCCCTAAAACAACACCAGATATATAATACCTCACTTATTCCAGTGCTTTCTGAGCGATAGAACCTTTCTCTCCTGCGGCCCTCAATTCCTCGCTCATGCGTAGGGACTAAGGAACACCGGGACGCGTACATGTGCACAGTTTGTCTATCATAGAAGGAGCCTGATGAATACTGTATGAATACTGTATCACAAGGTAGCCGTCGAGAAGTAACTTGGACATGCCGCTAAGCAGTGAGCGGAACATATGTATACTTGCTGCTACGTTTGCGCACCGGACCATCTTGCTTAGTGAAGGCCCCCGCGCATCACCTAATGGTGCGACTACCGGGGAGGTCGAATGGCGCAGGTGTCAGCAGTCATACTGATACCGGGCTGATTGGCCTAATTGCCGATTGACGTGATCGACCTACCTCTTCACCTCGAGGATGATATGGTGGCGGAAGGAGTCAGAAAATGTTTTGGCAGCGGGCGCATATACTTATCCAACCTTGAACCCGTGCACGCAGCGTCTAGGCCAGCATCCTACTAATGTAGGCCGGTGAATTACGTAAACCAGTATGATGGGCGATCTAGACCAGTTGTCTGGCTTGAGAGATGGATGCCGAAACTGAGGCCAGCGCAGCTTGCTAGCAGTATAGCTAGTATAACAACTGCTCACAGCTGCACCATTCGACATAAACCCGAGTTCCCCTGAGGGGTGGAGGCGGAGCAGTCCCACAGTATCCTGTATGACCTGTAGAACTAATCGCACTGGTATGGACGTGAGCATGTACCAACTCGAATACTAGCTGTCACCCACCGGCAATCGCAGCTCCTCCAACACAGGCGTTCTAATGAGGAACAATATGTACTTTTCCCAGTTCGCACTTCGTTGCGAGTCCCGAGAAACTTGATCATTGCGAATTTTAAACTTCCCTTCCCTTATTTCTTTTTCCTATTATCATCCATAGGTTTAGTGTACGAATGATTCATTTAACTCCCAAACAGTTGCCACCGTCCATTGTCCAAAATACAGGGTGTTAGGTTTGGCCACTGGAGAAAGTTGGTCGTATTTTGCCTTGGAGTTTTCTGATTGTTTTGCTCCCTTTATTAACACCAGTCGGATCGCCCGGCTGTCGCCGAGCGCTCCTCCTTCTGTGACATAGCCAGGCTTCGCCGGGCTGACGCGAATATTCCGCGTGCTAGATTACGAATCGTTGACCAACCATACGGTTCGAAGGATTGTTCTGCATCAGCCGAGAACTTAAAGCAGCGCAATCAAGGAGAGCCGGCCTTGTCAAGACACAGAAGCAGCAGCAGTTCCCGCGCATCACAGAAGGAGGAGCGGGCGGGCCTTAGCCAGCGATCTAACTGGTACGTTCATACACGAATATAGCAGCCTGTCAGGTTACCGCAGAAGGATCCTACTGCTTCATGCATTCTCTATTTTCCGAAGCGTCTCGCTGTGGAATGCACTTCTGCATTCAGCGGTGGAACGCTTCGAATGGTCCGATAAGAGAGACTTATGGTAAGAGTGATTAAGTCTATTGCTGATGTTCACAACATCTCTGTAAACAACCGCCATGCATTTGGAATCGAGCTAGCTTGGCGGTCGTACATGATGTCGTCGTTGGTAAGCAGTGAGGAATAAATTGTGTTGAAATGATTGAGATCGTGATACAGGGGTTATATCGATGCAATGTTGTTGTGAGTGGTGTAGCTGATTTTTCATGTCAGCTTTTTACTTTCACCTCATAGCACCTGTCCCCTTCCTGTCGCCCGCCAATAATGTCCCCGTCCCACACCCTATATCTTTTCTTTGAACCAAAGTCCCATTGTTGCTGTGACCCGCGCTATGGACTCGGTGGCTCTGCCCTTCAGACGCCTCTTATCAAATCTTATCAGCTGCTAGCAGTTCCTATCACTCACCAATAATGTTCCCGTCCCACCCCCTATATCTCTTCTTGGAACCAAGGTCCCACTGTTGCTGTAACCTGCGTTACGAATTTGATGACCCTCCCTTCCGAAGCCGCTTATCGTATCTTATCAACTGTTATCACTTTCTGTCACCCGCCAATATGTTCCCGTCCCACACCCTATATCACCGTCCTTCCCTTCTAATGCCTATTATCAGATCTTATCAGCTGATATCACATCCTGTCACCTACCAATAATGTTTTCGTCCCACCCCCTATTTCACTGCTCGGAACCAACGTCCCACTGCTGCTGTGGCCCGCACTATGGACTGGGTGACCATCCCCTTTGGACGCCTCTTATCGAATCTTATCAACTGATATCACATCCTGTCACCCACCAATGGTGTTCCCGTCACCCCCTCCATCACTTCCTGGAATCAACGTTTCTCTGCCACTGGGACAGGTGTTATGAATTTCGTGACACACACACACACACACACACACACACACACACACACACA